AGATATCGGACCGGCATAATCTAAATCTGTAAATTCAAACGGCCTGGACAGAGTTACTTAATTTTTTGGCAAATTCGCCATTAATGCCTGTGATGCAATCGGTTTACATTTAAAACAAATAATACATTTTCTCAAAATCTTGTGTGTTACCGATCACATTGCCAAGGGCCAAAATTGTTGACGCACCGTGCACATCATGACCTGTAGACCCGCATGCATATTCCGCAAGTGTTTTTTTTCTATAAGAAACGTGGCGAGGCGATCCTTTGGCAGTAGCATCGGATGGCGAGCTTTATATGGCAATGCAGAATTTCGCAATCTGCCTCCGACTCTAATAATTTTGTCGTTGTCGAGAAACGGCGCCAGGGATAAAATTTTACTTGAACTAGTTATCCGATTCTCGCTCATAGCGCAATATTCCGCTCGAAACGCTTCCCTTTGTGTGACTCTGACTAACGTTCGCAACGCTGTTGTATCGCAATGAGACATGGCCACCTTGTCATATCTAACTTGATGTGTCTTAATAAAACGCAAGCAATATGCTATGATTCGCAATATTTCGATACTTGAGTATTTATCTAATAATTTTAAAATAGTTGGCCACTCAATAACCGTCACCGTCGTAGCTATTTTTTTTGTTCGGGGTTCTCCGCTGATATTTTGGCGATTTTCTTGGTCGGCCAACGCGCCGTTCCGAGAAACAACGGCCCGTTCCATCACATCGAGTATTCGACGAGTTCTGATAGATTAATCCCCCGCGTCCGCCGGATTCTCTGCCGATGGTACATGACACCATTCTAATCCTTTCGTCAGTTGCTGTATCTCGCCGACGCGGTTAGCTACAAATGTCGTCCACCTATGTGCGGACGACGATGTAGGCTATGCCGATACCAACACCGTACTCCGTTACCGACCGACCAGGTCGTCAGGCGAGTAGTTACGACAAGTAACGCACAAGAAAAGACGTGCATCAGAGACAAGATTATTCACGGCTCGTCCATTGTAAAGTACAGACGTTAAATACAAGTTATCTTTAATTACAATTCTCACAGTGCTCAAATTCATTTCCCTCTGATTATCGGATATTGTGGGCATCCACGTCAAAGCAAGTAAACATAGACTTGACCCCACAATTGGTGACCCCGACGTTCGTCAAGCAAATAAAGGACGAAGAAATACGCAGAGCACAGAAAGAGAAGTCTTGGATATCCTAGCCGTAAGAAGCGCAAGAGCCGATTCAATCCCACATACACTCGAGATCATATCCAAAACCATCCCGTATTGAAGCTCATCAAGGAAACGGCGACCCGATTCGAGCTACGATCAGAGAGGGGCTATCGAGCAGGACCCGCGAACCATCACACGGCCAAGACCATTTTGGATTTCATCATCCTTCGATCGAGATCATTTTCCGGACAGCGGCCATCTTTTCGCCCCGCTGACGAGTCTATCTCTCCCAGACAACTGGCCTGACAGAATCCACGACAACGACTCACGCGAGCGTAAAGTAAGTCCGTTCCGACTATCGCGGGCAATTCCTCGTATCGTTACACGTCTCGAACATAATTTGCGCAACTCTTAGCTCGTGTCGTTGCGTCGCTTTGACGCGTACAATACATGTAGTTAGAGCATGATGTCGTCACCGGATCAGTCAGACGGCGCCGACGCGCAGATTAACTCATACCGCGTGCCGAAAATTCCGCCATTTTGGCGCCATAATTCTAAAACATGGTTCGCGCAAGTCGAAGCGACATTTCGAGTGGCAAATTGTAAAATAGATCGCACCAAAGCCGATTACCTAATAAGCGCGTTGGAGAGCGAGGTCGTCGAGCATGTCAGTGATCTCATTACGTTAGATCCCCCTCCCGAGAATTTCTATCAAATCATTAAAGAACGAGTTTTGTCAGTGTTCTCGGTATCACCGGAAGCGCGCCTGCGACAGCTATTGAAAGGCCAGGCGCTCGGTGAGAGAAAACCGTCGCATCTTCTTAATCATATGCGTCAGCTAAACGGCGGCCAATGCAGCGCGTCAGTTTTGAAATCACTTTTTTTAGAACAATTGCCGGAATCTCAGAGAGCAATCCTCGTAGCGATGAATGAACCGGACCTTCAAAAAATCGCGGAAATCGCAGACAAGATAGCTGACATCAGCAATCAGGATTTGGCAATAGAGCCCATACAAGCAAAGGAGCGCAAGCCTAAAACGCGCGGCGGCGGTAATCGAAACGTTCAGCCTGACATCGCGAGTCAACTATCAGAATTGCTTAAACGCGTTAATCGAAAATAAAATGGCAAAACGCAGACGAGAACGTCCTACCTCGCGTCTGCGTACCAATTCTAAGCAACGCGACGAAAAAAATCCGACGCCAAACCGGGCTTATGTTTCGCGCATAAAAAATACGGCCTCAACGCGAAGGTCTGCCATAAACCGTGTACCTGGAAAGAAACAGAAGCGTTGGAAAACTAAATACACCTTCTCGATTTGAGGCGGTCGAAAAGGGTGGAACTCGGTATAATCGTCTCCACGTTCACAATCGTATTTCTGGTCATCGTTTCCTAATAGATACGGGCGCAGAAATATCGGTTTTAGCCGCCTCCCCCGAGCAGAGAAAAGCTCCTTCAGAACTCAAGCTGTTCGCCGCAAATAATACACGCATCGACACGTTCGGCGAGCGTCGTCTCACATTAGATCTCGGCCTCCGCCGAGCAATTACGTGGAATTTTCGTTTAGCAGTCGTCCCAATCTCCATAATCGGCGCGGATCTTTTAAAACATTACGGGTTAGATGTTAGTCTGAGTAGGCGTCGTCTTACTGATAGCACTACCAAATTGTTCACTAATGGCAGTATTAGTACCGTTCCGAACTTATGTCTTTCTACGATAGACCATTCAAATAGTTTCGCAAACATCCTCGCGGAATTCCCAGAAATCACCGGTGTTTTGCAACAGATCTGTAAAAATCCAGCGGCGTTGAACACCATATTCTTACAAACGGTTTCCCCACTGCAGAACGTCCTCGTCGTTTGGCACCGGACAAATTAAAAGCTGCTAAAGCCGAGTTCAAAAACCTCATTGAACTAGGAATTTGTCGGCCGTCTAGCAGCCCATGGGCTAGTCCAATTTATCTAGTTCGAAAAAAATCAGGTGAATGGCGTGTATGCGGCGATTATCGGCGATTAAACGCCGTAACAATTCCGGATAAATACCCAGTGCCACATTTACACGATTTTTCTGCAAATTTACAGGGCAAGAAAATTTTTTCTTCCATCGATCTTCTCAGAACGTACCATCAAATAACTGTAGCAGACGAGGACATACAAAAAAATGCGGTCATTACCCCTTTCGGCTTATTTGAATATGTTTCAATGACATTCGGTCTTTGCAATGCCGCTCAAACATTTCAACGGTATATTCATCGCGCACTCAAAGATCTCGACTTCGTTTTCGCGTACATAGATGATATTCTTATAGCTTCCTCGTCAGCAAAGGAGCACAAGAAACATCTTCGCACAGTTTTTCGTAGACTTAAGGAGTTCGGATTATTCATAAACCCTGTTAAATGCAGATTAGGCGTAGAAGAGATAACCTTTCTGGGACATCTTATCAACCCACGTGGTTTCAGACCTACCACGGAGAAGGTCACGGCGATTCAAAATTTCCCTAAGCCACACACAATCGCAAAATTACGACGCTTCCTAAGAATGTTAAATTTTTATAGACGTAGTCTTCCGCACGCCGCAAACGTACAAGCTCCGCTCCACGCGTTCTTGTTGGATTCGCGTAAAAATGACAAACGCGAAATAGCGTGGACTTCGGAAGCTGAAACTGCATTCGTAAAGTCCAAACAGGACCTAGCAAATGCAGCGTTACTAAGTCATTCATCCGACACTGCTGAAACGCGCACAGTTACAGACGCGTCGAACACTGCGATGGGAGCCGTCCTCGAACAAAAACTATTCGATTCGTGAAAACCACTCGCGTTCTTCTCGCGCAAGTTTACCCCAGCTCAACAGAAATACAGCGCGTACGATAGCAAACTGACAGCAGTTTATGAAGCAATTAAATTTTTCAGACATTTTCTGGAAGGTCGCCCATTCAAAATTTTAACAGTCCATAAACCTTTAATTTACGCGTTTAACCAACGATCCGACAAAGCCGCGCCTAGGCAAATACGACAATTGTCCTTTATCGCGCAATTCACTACTGTCATAGAATACCTACCAGGCGATAACAACACGGTAGCAGACATCTTATCATGTATAGAAGCCGTACGTCTTCCCGTGGAAGTTGAACTAGTCGACTTAGCAAATCAACAGGCCCAAGATGACGAGCTCAAACATTTGCTCAAGTCCGATAATTGTTCTCTCAAATTTAAAAAACTAATTTGGGGAACGTCTCACACAGAATTATACTGTAAAATGTCAAGTGAAGCTATCCGTCCGTACATCCCAGCATCGATTAGAAAGTGAGTTTTTGACATGTTCCACGACCCCGCGCATCCGAATGCGAAAGTCACCGATCGTATAATTCGTCAGCGTTATATTTGGCCTAATTTACACCGCGACGTCGCGGAATGGGCTCGAGCGTGCGTACACTGCCAACAATGTAAAACTACACGGCACGTTAAACAAACCCCCGCGCATTTCATCGCTCCTGACGCGCGTTTCGATCACGTGCACATGGACATTATAGGCCCCCTGCCTACATGTCAAAACTATAAATACTGTTTAATTTTTATAAATCGCTTTTCACGCTGGCCGGAGGCTATTCCTCTCCGCGAAATATCAGCGAAGACAGTGGCACAAGCGTTCTTCGATAATTGGATTGCGCGATTCGGCGCGCCACGAATCCTTACTACAGATCAAGGCGCTCAATTCGAGTCACAACTCTTTTCCGCTCTGTTATCTCTCGCGGGTTGTAAACAAATCCGTACTACGGCGTACCACCCAGCCGCGAACGGCTTAGTTGAAAGGTGGCACCGTACGCTAAAAGCAGCCATTATGTGTCATGACACCCCCGACTGGGTTAGCGTGCTTTCGACAGTTTTACTCGGTTTACGCACCCACGTACGTTTAGACACCGGCGCTTCGCCAGCGGAATTCATTTATAGTACAACCTTGCGCGTGCCAGGTGAATTTTTCTTACACGACGACTTCACTTCTGAACCACAAATCTTTGTTGAAGATTTCCGTCAATACATGCGTCAATTGAAACCCATTCCTGTAACACACCATACTAAAAAACGCCCATTTCGCTTTAAGGACTTATACTCATTTACTCACGTGTTCTTGCGCTGCGACGCGGTCAAAAGACCCCTTGAACGACCGTATACCAGCCCATTCAAAGTTCTAAAACAAGACTCCGATCAAGTCTTTACGCTTGAAATCCACGGCAAACCTCAGTCGGTTTCCGTCGAAAGGCTCAAGCCTGCACACTTCTTATGTGACAATACTAGCGTACCTGTTGTAGAGGACACTCCGCAATCTACCGATGTATATAAAACACTACCAAAGGCTTATTCTGGTCCAAGGAAACAAATAGCTTTTAAGTTATCATAAACGTTATACACCGCAAATTTTATTTTTGTTTTCAACGCACGCGCGCAATTAATTTTAAGCGTTCAGTCATTGTAAACGCGTCTAATTTAAGCATAGCAATTACGTCAAGCGCGCCTAGTTTTAAGCTTAGCAGTAAGAATATTGTAACCATCGACTCTTATCTACCCTCATGAAAAGGTTGCGTATTATATTTATATGGCGTTTTCACTTAGAGGGGAGTATTGTAGGCTATGCCGATACCAACACCGTACTCCGTTACCGACCGACCAGGTCGTCAGGCGAGTAGTTACGACAAGTAACGCACAAGAAAAGACGTGCATCAGAGACAAGATTATTCACGGCTCGTCCATTGTAAAGTACAGACGTTAAATACAAGTTATCTTTAATTACAATTCTCACAGTGCTCAAATTCATTTCCCTCTGATTATCGGATATTGTGGGCATCCACGTCAGAGCAAGTAAACATAGACTTGACCCCACAACGACATCCATTGTAGCGCCACCATGGAGTCCGACCATAGTACCACTCTTACCGACGACAAGTCGATCAAAGATTGGATTTTCTCGATCAATCTGGCTAACAACAACGCGACGCTCAATTCCAATCGTGGTATGGAGATCGTTTTCAGCGGTGCGACTCGCGATTTAGTTGTTAATAATTCGACTCGATAGCAACCATAGTCCGATTCTCAGCGCATATAAACGCATGTTCTGTAAGCGCGCTCGCTAGCGTCGTAGAACCCGTGTATTTGAAGGCTTTGTGCGTCAATCCCGAATCCTACCTACCGCGGTACTCTTAATTTGTTTAAAAGCGGCAATTGATGCCTCAGTCTTAGCCATCTTTCATGAATGTGCTCTGACAACAATTTATCCCAATTGACTCCGTACTGTTAAACGTCCTGAAAAATTATTTTAGCCACGACGGTTTTCGGGTCTAATAAACCTAACGGATCAAACAGACTCGCGATTTCCGCTATATCGATTCCGATAATATTGTTCATTTTGTAATGGACTCACGCAATGATCTTTGATTATACTCGAATCGAAATTCGTCTGACGGTTCCCATATAATTCCGAGAATCTTATTTCCGGTATGTCTATTCAGAATCCTTGTCCCTGTATTGACCTTCCGTATTAAATCCGTGCAATTGGACGACTATTTAAGCAGTTCGAAGTGACCGAGCTTCAATGATTTAATCACTTCTTCCCGAATGCGTTTTATTCTGTTTTTGGTGTCTGCTCCAGTGAGCAAATCGTCCACGTAAAAATCCTGAAGCGCGCATTTTGCTCCGACGGGTATTCCGCGGCGTGCTCCCGCGCCAGATGCTGAAGGCACCTTGTCGCGAGGAACAGCGCTGAGCTAGTTCTGTACGTTACTGTCAGCAGCTCATATATCAATCGGCGCGCTCAAATCACTCCGTCATAATATACGCTGCAATCTGCTTCGTAAGTTATCGATCAATATCTGTCAATACATTTTTTCTACGTCTGCGGTGAACGCGTATGCAAACGTGCGAAAACGCAATAATATTGAGACTAAATCTTGCTGTATAGTCGGCCTGATCATCAACACGTCATTCAAGGAGATCCCTGTGCTACTCTTACACGACGCGTCGAAAACCACGCGTAATTTGGCATCACGACCCTCACCCTTTATAACACCATAGTGCAGTAAATAGATCGCGACTTCCTCCTCACAATCATGCGAAGAAGTCTGCCGCACGTGTCTTAATCTCTCATATTCACGTAAAAATTCTATATACGAGACCCTGAAGGCTGGTTCACGTTGCAAGCGTCTCTCTAAATTATGAAAACACTTCAAGGCTATGTCCCTCAAATCGCCGATTTGACACAACACGTCCTCCCTTACCAGCAATCTGACTATATATCTACCTTGCTCATTGGCTGACACATTTTTCATGAAGTGCGTCTCACACGCCCGTTCTTCCATCGTACATGCATTATTATTGTTTGTTATTTTCTCTACTCGCCAAAAATTGTTCACTCTCATGCAAGTCTGTCTCGTTTACAGCAACATGTAATGCGTTTGCTCGATTCAACAGCTGTGAGGCACCAACAAGTCCCACAATAATCCACTCCAACAATGTTTTTTGTAAAATTGGATGTTCCAATGTTGCCCCTATCTGACTTACGCACAAGAGTCTCCAAAATAAATCCGCTCTGATAAGCATATTGATAGTTGCCAATACGTTAAACCGTGAGTCTGCTAACACGAGACCCGTTCGCAATTTGAACGTTCGGCACGTGATAGTAGTTGCGGGAATCCTATCCGTGATCCAATCCACAACCACGCATTCCATGCGCGTTGCGAACGAATTCACGCGTGAGCGGATATTTATTCCGGCGAGTCGATTCGATGCTGACAATGTTCCATTTACTCCCGAGACAGAGATATTCACCGGGCGAGATTCTACTTGTAATAATTCGAGAAGGCCGCTCGATATGAAACTGACCTGTGAACTTGAGTCGAGTAAAGCCCGACGAGCCCTTTTTTATCTAAAACGTGGATAACTGCCGTCGACAACAAAACGTCGCAAACATCCCGATTCATAGTCGCATGCATGCTCGTGGCGGTGCAGCCTGACATTTCGGACAGATGCGTCGACGCCGAAGCGCCTTCAGTATTTTTTATCTCTACCTTTGAACGTTGTAAATGCAATAACGTGTTGTGCTTCAATCCGCAAGTCTTGCAGCCGCCCAACATACATTTATTCACTGTGTGCGTTGTGACACGCAAACAATTAAGGCACAGATCCCGACGCCGTATCTTGGCGATTCGTCGATCGACGGAAATCGACGAACTCCTTGCATGCATAAATAGCTCACCGGCGCAATAATTACATCTGCCGCGAATCATTGTCACACATGCCGTCGAACGCTTGTTGTTGATGTGACGTTGCGAACGCATATCCATTCGACCGGACGTATTTCTGATTCCCTTCTCTACCGATTCTAATATTTGGCCGTGGTGCGCAATAAACTCTAAGAATTGTTTTAAGGTGAGTAATTCAGAGTCCTTGAGTGAGGCGTGCCATTCGCGAGACGTGACGGAATCTAGTTTCGAACTCAAACTGTGAATTAATAAATTGTCCCAAGAATCAGCCGGGTGATCTAGCGCACTTAATGCTTTCACGTGTCTTGCTATGCCATTTAACATCCGCCGCAGCTCGTTCGCATTTTCTTTAGTCATTGCCGAAAGTTCGAGTATTGCCTTTATATAAGCCTGAACAACATGTTTGTTCTTCTTCTTCTTCTTCACGATTTAGTGGTCTATATAAATCAGACTTAGCTTTTCCTTGCCGGCCATAAGTTTTAATTAGGTCCACAATGGACCAAAAAGGAAAAAAATTTTTCAGACGAAACACGTCTGAACACGTCGACGAACGCCAACGGACTCAACATGTTTGTTGTTATATCGTTCTTTCAATAGGCTCCAAGCCGTAAATTCGATCCGATATCTCCAACGGTCTGATAATATTTATCGCTTCGCCGGTCAAGGACACTCTGAGATATTAAATGTTCGTTAACGTGTCATTGTTATGAATTATTGCCATAAATGTATCACAAAATGGAAACCACTCATCATATTTACCACAGAATGCAAATTTAATTCGGCAAGAGAGACGTGTGCGATTGAATACGATTTGGAGCGAGTATGACGAATTGCAGTCGCGGATCGAAACGATTGACGAGCAGGAGGCGACCGACCGAGCCACTTTCGAGGATTCTTTTTACGCGATGTGCGCTCGGATTCGGCATTTGACGCGACCTGTTCCGGTGCTTTCCGAAACTAGTTCGAAACTAGATCCCGTCACGTCTCGCGAATGACACGCCTCACTCAAGGACTCTGAATTACTCACCTTAAAACAATTCTTAGAGTTTATTACGCACCACGGCCAAATATTAGAATCAGTAGAGAAGGGAATTGGAAATACGTCCGGTCGAATGGATATGCGTTCGCAACGTCACATCAACAATAAGCGTTCGACGGCATGTGTGGCAATGATTCGCGGCAGATGTAATTATTGCGCCGGTGAGCTATTTATGCATGCAAGGAGTTCGTCGATTTCCGTCGATCGACGAATCGCCAAGATACGGCGTCGGGATCTGTGCCTTAATTGTTTGCGTGTCACAACGCACACAGTGAATAAATGTAGTCGTGAATCGGAACGGGGCTCAGCAGAATCCAACACGGATTCTTCCACTCAAATTTGGCAGACGAATGTTCTCCATAGTTTGTCTAATTGTTTTGTTTTGCAGCGTACAACAGATTACACTTGCGAAGAATGTAGCAATCGACGTTATACACTGTCGGGACTGCTGCTCTCGATCTCTTGCTAGTCATCTTGTTCAAGTTCCTTCATATTGTCGCTCTCGTTCAATGGACTTGGTTTTTCCAACTGATACTGATTAAAATCACTTGTTAACGTATGATCTGCATGCAACAGACCATGATGATGATAGCAATGGCGATTGTCAATTACACATTGCGGCGGCAGCTCGTCGATTGGCACGCCACATGATTGTCGTATTATGGTAAATATAAATATATTTATTAAATCATTATGATACAATTTCTTAAAATTTATATTTTCTTTAAATACTCAGTAAGAAATTATGAATTATAAAGACATAATCAACAATTTTTTAATCGAAATGATCGGTTGATATAATCTAATGTAAAATTCTGTCGATTAGATTTTTTTGCGTTCTTCAAACTTTATTAGCCATTTATAATGTTACAGCCCAAAAAGCTATAACTAGTATATTTATATATTATAATTATTTATAAAATTAAGTAAGACGCATACTTGCAAAAACGCTAAACGCACAAGCTTGCGAAATAAACAAACGAGGCTAACGCCAAGTAAGCAAAAGCCGAGTAAATGAAATTATTAAGAAATATCGAAAGCGCAAGTGTAGAGTTCCAATAACCTCCTTCTCTTGCGTCTAATAACCTAATTGTCAGATATAAAAAGAATCCGATTGTAACACTCAAGGGTCCAGTTAATTTAAACACGACACGCTGTGTAAAGTACTGTTTTAACAAAACTGAACACGAGTTATCAACGCAAAAACGTGTAAGCCTAAAAAGATTGTATCTTTAACTATTTATTAAAACTATTATAAAACTACAAAACGGGAGTAAACTTTCCCTTTGACGGTCCCGAACTCCTCAGTTCCCATTCGGTAACGATCCCGTAACTACTCTGTGCCTCACATGCAACATAAATTGGTGGCAGCGGTGGGATCACCGAAAGATCGTATTATAAAAAGGCGTGACAAGATACTTTCCAAATCAAAAATAGTTGACAAAACCAATCGCGAAAACTGTCAATCAACTGTCAGTCAATGAAAAAAGAAAACAGTGAAAAAAGGAACGTGTCAAGTGTAAAGTCATCGCCGCAAGACGGACGAGACGGCACAGTGAGACTGCAAGGGACGAAACATCGCTGCCAAGCTGCAGATCGTCACAGCATCAAAGGAACCTGGAACCCCCGCACTAGCCGCTAAAGCCAAGTACAGCAAAAATGCGAGCCGTAATACTATTGTAAGTGCGTAATACAATTTTGTACAATAATAGGGAAATTACCCTGCGAGCATAGAAAATATTTTAAGCGAGACTACCCGATGTCGGCGCGACTCAGAAAACGCGTAACGTTTAGACCTCAGTTCTGGAGCAGAGCTAATTGCTCTCCGACTCAATCGTGTCCCGTAGACCCCGCATTGATAGCTGAACCAGAAAACCGGAATATTCGTAATAACACGCTGAAACTTAAGCGCGTACTATCCTAATCCCGATACCGAAGACATCGCGGAATACGTGCGACCACCTAACGCCAGCGACATAGACGAGGAAGAACAACCTGCGAACTGCATACCTGACAACAGAGTTTCAGTAAGGAGAAATTATTCCCCTGTATCCGTAGACGGTAGCGTCATAGGTATTTGCCGTGAGAACGAAATGAGGCTAAATGCGCCCCCGCAAGAGATCTCTGCCGAAGGACTGGACCGAGACATCAGCAGAGTATGATCAATTCTGAATAATATTGCCGCCGGGCATAATGCTGACGCTGGACATCCAGCTTTCAGTCCACAAAACGACCTACTTATTGAGCTCATACGAGCGAACCGCGAAATGCGATACGAATTAGTCCACCTACGTCACGAAATAAACGCGTGCCCCACAAATAGAGAAGTAAGTCACGCGCAAGACTGAAACCGATCACACGTATCCAACGCACGGATCGCCGCAGTACACGCAATGACGACTCTAACGTCATGTACACGTACGGAAGATCCGAAAATGACATTAGAAAGCGACGTAGCATGTCTTCACGCTATATAACATTGAAAGACGCCCACATAATGATCCCTGAATTCGACGAATCGTCACTGGAAATACTCAAAAAATTCCTGAGCACTTGCTCATACGCCGTACAAAACATAGACCCTGCGGACGAAGAATCATTAGTACAAGTAATATTATGTACAAAATTCGACGGAAAAGCTATGCAAGATTTTGAGACGCATGACATCCACACCTACGAGGAACTCAAACAGCAATTAGAGCCGTGTTATCAAACACGGCAGAGTACTGCAAATTTACAAGTAGAATTCAATTCGTTGAAACAAAAACCTGGGGAAAACGCGCATGATTTCGGACAACGCGTCGATTTACTAGCTGTGAAACTATACAATTCAATGGTTGAGTGGTTGAGGGAGAAGACTACGACCTCACGTTCAGACGCGCCATCTAATATATCATTAATAAAAAGCTTTAAATAATTTCTAAACCGAATTACGCCAAGACCTCAAAATGATCGTTAGAGCACAACGATACACGACCTTGCAAGAGACGATACTCGGCGCGAGCGAAGAAGAAACACTCTTATCACTCGAATCGCGGACCCAAGACAAAGAAAAAAC